ATGACGATTTTCCCCCCCCCCCCCGTTTAGTATTCTACAACGGACACAATTTTAAAAAAGGAATTCTGTTTTCTTTCTTTTTTTTCCCCAAGGCAAGTCTGCGCACTCCTGAGCTGACATGGGAGCGAGTTAGGTCTCAGGTTGATCATGTTATTTGGCCTGATGGGAAAAGGATCGTTCTTTTGGCAGAGGTATGAAGCATACACTTGCTATTAATGTATTCCATTAAGTTAAACAACCTCTGCATATGAAATCTTCAGTAAAAACTGTGCACATGTGTAAAATTAACCAAAATTTTTCCAACAACTTATAACTTATCATAAAACAAAATATATTTTTTTCCTGCAAATTTTTGACTAATTGATATTTCTGCAACAAAGCATGGTGACCATTAGGGTTGCACCGATACCGTTTTTTCTATATCGAGTATGAGTAACGATTATTTTTGTCTGGTATTCGCAAATACCGATACCGGAAGTCCCATTAGAAAGTAATGACTCGCCACCTGGCATCCTGACTAGCCAGGATCTTGGGCAGTTTGAAATGACTCGCTGCCCGGCTTCCCGGTTAGCCAGCTCCATGCTCCCTCGTCACCAGGTGACTAGGGAGCATGGAGTCAGCTTCCTGGCAAATGAGGATGCTGAGGGGCTGGGTAATGTGTCGCCACCTGGCTTCCTGACTGGCCAGCTTCCCAACCAATCAGGAAGACGGGCAGTGAGTCATTACATGCTGTCTGGCTTCCTGATTGGCCGCAAAGCCGGCTCAGTGCTCCCTGGTGACGAGGGAGCATGGAGCTGGCTTCCTGTTACCGGAAGTTTCGTTATCGGGAATAAGTATCTGAAACATTTGGGGGAGTACGAGTACTTGTCCCAATACTAGTATTGGGATGGGTACATCCCCAGTGAGAATATTTACTAATGAACTAAAGGCTTTCTTGGAATTGTGTATTTTTGTTTTAATTGAGCACAGCAAACAAAATGAGCCGAGTTGCTCAGTGCTACAGATACGCAGAGCAGGACCCTACAGATGGTGTAATCTGCAGGTCTATCTGTTCGTTTGACAGAGGTCCTGCTTCATGCACTAGGACCCCTAAAGGGTTAAACTGTTAGCTAAGCACAGGCCCCTCTCCCCCTTATTTATTTTCTGTATAGTATTATACAGGTGTTTTGTTTGTGCCATTAGACTATATGTGGCTCTTAGTCTGGAAAACTACCACATTTATGTTAATGTGACAGGTTAATGTGTACCCAATTTAAATTATATTGGAAAATGATGCCAATCTCATAGTGTCTCCTTAAATTGTGTAACAGGGACGTCTCCTTAACCTGAGCTGTTCTACTGTCCCAACATTTGTTCTATCTATTACTGCGACCACACAGGTAAGGTACCTTTATCGTACATCTGCACACACATTTGTTCACATGAAGTCTTTGTACACATCTTTAGATTTGAATGGCTGTAACATTCCTTATGATAAAAAAGTTTGTAAAAAGAAAATACCATTGCAGAAAGGGCTTAGTTTGCGACATGCCTCAAGGGATTTTGGTATATGCGGCTCTTCCCCACTACTGCTGGATGCCTTATTTTGCGTCATATTCAGTATACAGTTCAGTACAATTAATGTAATCATTAGAAATCTTCAGAGCCCTGTGAAGTTTTCACAGCTAAAGATGTTCATGGGCTAATGGTTTAAGGATGGGTGGGGTTCAAAATCGTTTAACTGCGTACAATGCAGCCATTTCTTTTCAGTGCAAACAGTAAAATTAATTTTGCTATTCCACCAAAATATTTTTGTACGCACCAGCAGAGTTTTTTTAATTTTCCTAGCGAATATTGTAACATTCTAACAGGTTCCAGGCAGGTATAAAAAAAAAAAAAAAAAAAATCATTATACATAGATAATCACACACTTATAATTGAACTCTTTATTGCAGCTCAATGGTACCTGAATTTTTTGAATACTTGTTTTCCCAAGACTAGGAGGTGACAGTCCTATGGGCTCAGTCTGTTTAGCATTCACAGACAGTGTGACAGAAGGAGAAACGAGAGTGGGCAGATAGGTGACCTCATCAGTTACTCATCATTGGCTTCTATGAAGCCCATTACAGGAGGATTTAGGGAGGTGTTCTTGTGATGGTCACATTGAGCTGGAACCCTGCCTCATGGCTCTAAAGTTAGTTCTTGCTTTTCTATTCACTGGCATTGCAGAGTGTATTATAAGAAAACTATGGTTAAACCTTTTTTGGCGTTCTCTTCAGAGTCACAGAAGGACATTTAATGATGTCCTCCTGTGACCCAAAACTCAGTATATAGAGGGCTTATTGCCCACTATATGGTGACAGTGCAGAGCTGTGGGATCCACCCCACCAGATAGGCAGCGCCAGCGGTCACTACTATGTGCAGGGAGAAGGTCGCGAATTGAGCTATCAGCGGTATGTGATCGCTCAGTTCTCGATCTATAGAGTCGATATGTGACTGCTGTAGTGTCACACGTCGGCTTTAACTATAAGGATGAGTGCATTTTACTCTCCCCATAGTTTTTTCCTTTAATGCAGCTCTAGCATAGAAACTATGAAGAATACAACTGTTCTGTCAAAAAAAAATGCAGAATGTTTTTGTAAAATATGATTGGGGTTTTCTAGGTTAATATTTCACCAGGTACACTGCATCCTTTGATGGTGATTGTGTGAGTTTACTCTGAGTGCCAATGCTTCTTCCCACAATCCAGAAACATGCTGGTCGGTTAAATTGGCATTTGACCTGTTTAGCACACGAGCATGTATTGCCATATTTTAATGACAAGTAGCAATTTTAGATTTAAAGCTCCTCCTGGAGTAATTTAAAGTTATATAGAATATGTTGGTTCTATAGCGATACCGAAAATAAATCTGTGTCTATTCTCAGGCATTGGCTCTGATTGAACTCTACAATGCCCCAGAGGGTCGCTATAAACAGGATGTCTACCTGTTGCCTAAGAAGATGGGTGAGTCTCGTGAAAATGACATGTTTGTTAATCTGTTGCTTAGCAGTGCAAATGATGTATATAATAAACCATTTTCATTCTCGTGTTTATTTTCTCTTAATGGATGCAATCTCTGTCCTGTAGATGAATATGTGGCCAGCCTTCATCTTCCCACTTTTGATGCCCACCTCACTGAGCTATCAGATGAGCAGGCCAAGTATCTGGGTCTGAACAAGAATGGACCTTTCAAACCAAATTACTACAGGTATGTACACTCGTATGGCAGCATGCTCACAACAATGCTTATTTGGAAAATGTGCTTTGTTGTGAATGGGCCTAATTTTTACAAACAATAGAAGATCTTTGTACAGTACTGTAAGGCTGGGTTTAATGGTTTGATATTCACTACAGTAAGTAATCAATTCAAAATACTAAATTCAAAATACTTTGGTTTTTTTAACATATCGCATAGGTGTAAAGCTTACCTTTAAAACAAACCCTCACTGACCACTGTAGCTGCTGCAACTGCAGAGTAATTTATCTTTGGTTAACAGCAAAAAGCACTTTCATTTCTGAAAGTCGTCTTGCCCTCCCCCCACCCCTATCAGAAGTCATTTGGCAGCCAGCCACCCTCATAATCTAATGCATATCTAATCTATAATGTTAACAGAGAGCACAGTGTTGAGACCCAACTTGAAGGTCGTGCTTCTCCTGTGGACTTTGAGGATGAATAACTCCACCTTGTCTGTAGTTATGGAGATCAGTGAGCTCTTGTTTTTAGGCTCATTTACTGCTTAAGAATATGTACATTTCGGAAGGTCTATAGCCTCTCCACAGTTCTGCTTTAATCTACAGCAGTGGTGAAAAAATCACCTGTAATCCTGTTACCCACAATCTTGTTTTTTTTTTTAAAAACACACCTGCATGTGTACTTGTTTTTTTACTAGAATGTCAGTATAACCTTCCTGGCGGTAATCCAGAGTGTGGCTCGGGGTTAATTTTCATTACCAAAGCGGTAACCCCGAGCCACATTCGGGATTGCACTGTAGCATCAGTTACCTTGTCCATACGAGCCCCGCTGTGTCCTCCAGCCGATGCCGGCATCTGTCTTCCGGTTTCCATCCCTTGCGAGCTCCCGCATCGCAGTGGGGCGGAACCGGCGGGAAATTCAAAAGTAAAAAAAGCACAGCCTTCTCTTCAAAATCTTTCTCCTCCCGTTCATGCACACCACAATCACTATTCCGATTAATAAGACGTTCCTTAAAATGAATGGCGTGAGGCGCACATTCATAGGAGAAAGACCCAACATGGAATATTGAAGAGCCCCTGCACACACACACAATGATGAGCACGCCATCCAGTTGTCTGAGCAGAGAGTGGGAAGATTAGGGTGGGCATTGGAGCTCACATAATGAAATGCCATTAACAGTGGGTTTGCTTTACAACTTTATTTTTTTTCTTCTTTTAGGTATTGAGTTCATCTGAATACTGCATTCGAGGAGCAATTGAAAAATGGGGAAATCTGGAATAAATATAAAAATATGAAGCCTTTCACAGCCACTGTACAGCCAGCTCTTATATCAAGAACTGGACTCTCTGCCATATTAGTAAACATGTTATTTATTACAGAAAAGCCGCCTAGAATAGACTTTACCTGCTCTCTGTGCTAGTCCACAGGTTGTTGGGTTATGGGGGGAGCTGTGCCTGTAAGACTGTAGCAGTTCCCCCCAGTCATGCTGTACTTACAGGCTTATAGCAATCTCTTAACACTGCTTATCCCAGCAGCACGTGGGAAGGGGAACAAGTTAACTAGCATGAAACCTGAATTTAAAAACAAATTTATTTTGCATTAACTTGCATTTTTATTTCTCTTTTAATATTGATTTACCTGAAGGATGCAAAGTGTGGATGTCTTAATGAAACATGTAAAAGTGACCTAAATCTATTTTATTGTGGGTTTTCAATAGTGATAGTTATTTGTTTTACTCCCTCTTGTGTCAAATAATAATGTTCCTATGAAGCTGCTGTAATAACTCCAAAAGAATATGACACTAAACGGTCATTCACTCACTCGTGATAGCTGCTAGCAGCCATCTAAGAAAATTGGCTTAAAGTTGATTTGTCCATGTTTGCACCCCACTGCATTTCTACGGACCTTGACTGCACTGCTGATTTTTCTTTTTTCTAGCACAGTTTTAGGCTTTATTTCATCAGTAAAGAATCAATGAGAGGTTTTGTTTTTATCATCCATGCTGCTCCATTGAGTGCTGCACAGAAGTGCCACTTTGTTAGTGTGCCTGTGTACACAGAAGTAGATCCATGAACCCATCGCACTCCTGTCCTCTTGTCTCCACGGAAAATCAAATGGCTGATCGACGGACGGCAACAGTCATACAACAGTAGAAGCAGGGACACCGGCACTCCAATGTAAGCGTGAAAATAAAGTCTTATTTATTGAAGAAATACGACATGTCACAAAAATGCTATTTGTGACATGTCGTATTTCTTCAATAAATAAGATTTTTTTTTTTTTTCACGCTTACATTGGAGTGCCGGTGTCCCTGCTTCTACTGTGTACACAGAAGATCGCAAACATTTTCTAAGTGCAATGCTACTACTTAATAGTCAGTTAACAAAAACCCCATGAAGTAGTGGGTGCTGTGTAATACGTTACTATTTTAATTTTTTTGAGTATGTTTCCTTATGCAGACATCCGTCTGCATTGAAAGTTTGGTGTCAGCTGAAGCTTTTCGAAGACCCAGTAAGGTATGCGTTCCCTTTAGTTTCTAAGGCACTACTGAGGATGTCGCCACTTGGAAGTACATACTTATGACATGCATTAAGGACACATGTTGGTCCTATTTTTCTGCCTCTCATTGAGTCGTCGTTTAATCTGGTACTTGGAGCCTACAGCAGAGCAAGCCGATTAATTCCGTTTCTGCCATGCAAAACATATAACTGTATTAGACCAAAAGTAGGTTAAAATGAGTACAAAGTACTTGCTGCTGTAAATGCTGAAAACTGAGCACCATTGTATTCCGGTACTAGTATGTAATACTGCATCTACATGCCAACTTTTCCAGTCACTTCTGTATACATTGTGGCAGTGTTTTAACCTCAAGCTTCTGGTAGGTAGTATTAGGAAGTGGTATACATCCCACTGATTTTGTGCATTAAATCACAGTTGTTTGGGCTCATGCACACAGGCGTTTCATTCACTTTAAGTTTTCTATGAAAGCAGAAAAGGAGGACTCCAGTGTTGCCATGTGCAAAACATCTTGTTCCTGTGCTATGGCTTTTCTGATTTATTATGGAAATGCTTCATTGTGCAGTTAACTACCTTTTTTTTTTTTTTTTCTTTAAACTCATAATAATGTTATGTGCACTAACATGTAATATGTAAGTGCACATCAGCCAGTACAGGAGCGTCACTTGGTTACTCTGCCTTTATTGACACTTAAAAAGTCATGTCATTGACGGTGTACTAATACAAATTCTGTATTTGGCATTGTATCCCTTAATGAGAAGTTTTGATTTGTTTTTTCTTCTTCCTGTGCCCTCAGTGCAATGGCTATGCCAGGCAAATAGGCTCTTTACATTCCCTAATTAAGCTGTGAATCCCAAACCTTCACCACGAGCCACCAGTGCAAGATACAGTAGACAGCTCTTTCTTTTAATAGCCATTTCACTTCATTTAGGCTGAATTTTCCCTAAACTTTTAACTGATCTAGATTTTAATCTTTGATTTAAATTCATGCATTTGATCTTCATCTCCATTGAATTTGATTACTTCTGCTTTCTATTTAATTTTGATTTCATTTGTATACAAATCTAGCAAGGTTTTCCTTACTGCATATTGCGGTATTCTGCTGCTGCTACGTAACCACTGAATCTTGGACTGTGTTGTGATCTTGTGCTGTGCAGAGGAGAACATTTCCTCAGTGCATGTGTGTATATATACTGTATATACAACATACACAGCACAGCTGTATATACCTGTCCTATATACACAAAATATACTTGTGAACGTGTGCAATTCTTTTAATCTTATTTAAAACCTGCTAGAAGGCCTGTCTTAGTTATTTTTGAGTTGAGAAACGGGACACTTTGTGTCTTGTGCTTGCACCACAAAATAGTGGCTTGCGTAAATCTGAATTTGTGAAACACATCAAAGTTTAAACTAGGTAGGTGAGTTGAATCTCTTCCTGCTAAGCGACTTGAGATCCTGTTGGCCATCACCTCGAAATATATATTTTTTTCAACTGAAACTATATGCTAGCAACACATTAGAGCAATCATCAGCAGGAGTATACGATCTCCTATGTGGTCTCTCCCGATCATTATTAATTCTGCAGTTCTTGTACTCAGCACTGACGGCGGAGACAGCTGCTGGACTAAATCAATATATAGGTGAATCCAATCAATCGGTTAACTACCTCCCAAGTGTGATCATTGAGGCTTATGGCATTTTCTGCCCGAAGTAGACCACGTTCTAGCAGGTTAAACAGCTTGGCCTGACGTTTGGTGGATTGGCAATACACCGCTACATATTACCAAATCTTGGAGTTGAATCTAAGATTCAGAGAACGTTGGTATAATATTGTTTCAGCCCAAGGCAAGCTGCTTCACTGCCACATTTTTCAGCAGTGCGAGGAACAGTGTGTAAAATGCAGTAACCTTTGGTCAGAATATTTGCTTATCTAACAGTAACCTAAAATTTGGTAGCTACAGGTTATCCAATTTTACATATTGTTTTTCCTTGCACTGTCTTACTTTATGAGCACATATTTTTAAGCTGGTTGATTTAAGCCCGAACTCTATATTCATGGACAAACACCCTCAGGGTTTCATTAGAGAAAAAGACCTGCAATCTGTTAACAGCTCCAGCTTTTCTTATTCAGCAATGTCTTATTTCAGTAATTTACATTTCTCTGCATTGTTAAGAATGGATGAGATCCTTTCAGATTAGCTGGATAGAAGATACCAGCAAGCGGAAACTTTAAAGTAAAACTAAACCTGTTGCTCAGTGATATACAATTAATGCTGCTGGTCAAGCCTGCAATGCACAACCCACTGTAGACTTTATCACCAGCAGCCGAGGTGTTGGACAGTATGTATTTGACCTGTACTGCAGTATAAAAATGCAGTGTTCAGAACGGCAGTCTCCAAGAGTCTTTTACATTTTTTAACGTATGAGTGATTGTACTAGATCAGCAATAAGGAATCTGTAATCTTAAACATGAATAAAATGCTATCAAATGAATCTGTTAAGTGTGTTTCTTGCTTAAAGTGTAACTCTGGGCAAAGTAAACTAATGACGTATATAATGCAGTCTGTTATTGTATCTGTAGGCAAAACCCTTTTTTTTTTTCCTTCCTTCTGGATAGAGGAAGGGGTCGACCCTGTCCACTTATCGTAATCTGTGTCCACATTGGGGAGATTCTTCCCTCTTTTCATACTGGTGACTATTGTCAAAGAGAAAAAGAGAGGGGAAATCTTCCAATGGGGACACCTGTGCCGGAGATGGCTGTCTAAGAGGGGAATTCTTCTTACATTGGCAGACTTCCTTAAACTTCCTACTGCATCTCTGGGACAAGAAATGAAGGGGAGTGTCTCTAGCGGTACAGAGATGGCAAAACAAAGCTGGCAGGGGTTTTAACCTTTCTCTACTTTTATCATTTTAAAAGTGGGTTGTTTTTTTTTTTTGGCTGCACACTTTTAGAATTGGCAGCAGATGTTGTTTTTCCGAGTGCCCCCCTGTAACGTTGTCTCATTACCTACTGACCCTGCCAGTAGAGCTGTTGATTTTTCCACTTCATGTAACAAGCAGTGGCACTTATAGGGGTTTGGGATAGACCACATTGTACTAGAAGGGGTACTTACTTCTCCATAGGAGCACTCTGCAGCAGGAGCTAGATGCACAACGCAGAACAATGCTCCCAGAGTTAGGCTGATTTCCTAAAGAACATAAACTACTATTGTGGGAGAGAGAGGACATGTGCGCTGTTGGCGGTGGGGGAAGGGGACGTGTGTACTATTTTTTTTGGGTGGGTGGTAGTGGGGTATGGGGCAGAGTATATAAATCACAAGAGTGGGTGAACAAGAATAATCGTCTGGCAGTAAACATGTTTTATGTATTTTAACTGTGTTTTTAGCTATTACCTGGCCTTTTACATTTTCACTCTTCCAAAGTACTTTAAAACATCAGAAACGGGCTATGTGTGTACCTTCTCATCTGCTTTTTGTATAATACCAATTAAATTCAATACCATAGCTTTACTTTCAAGCACTCACTGGGACCACTTTATGAAATAATGAGCAAAGGTTACATAGTGCAAGGATTACAACACTTCAATTCAGCTGCTCTGTAATGTACCTGAAATGCTAATACAAGCCTGTACATATACATTTTAGAACTAAAGAGCACCAATCATATTTAGGTTTATGCAAGAATGTGAATATTACAAAGTACACTTGTAATGACCATTACTGCCTGCCTTCTGAAAATGGTAGTTGCTTGGCTGTGCTGGACCCAAGTTTTTTTAAGCACTAAAAATGAGGACATAGAAAAGTCAGAATGTCTTACCCCTATGCTAGCATTTTCAGGATGGGCCTCAGAAATGGAAGTCCACGTTTCTCTCATGACAGGTGTACTTTAAAGAACTCTGGGCATTGGAATCATTTTAATTCTCTTGATCTCTTAATACTCTGTAGAAGTGGAGGCATAACATAGAGTGGATTCTACATAGTGGTTTTTGAAATTGGGTTTAAGAGATCAGGTTATAGATTCAAGGGTACATGTTTCTGGGTTGAAGGGTTTGAGTTCAGGGTAATTTAGTGTATGTGTTTAACGGTTCAGGGTTTTTTTTCTTCGTTTTTTTAGTAAATTCTTTATTTTCTATTGTTTGATACAAAGAACAGTCACAGAACAAAAGACAATGTTCAAAAAAGATAAAAGTACAGAAAAGAAAACATGGTAGCAGCAACTGGCCAAAAAGCTAATTGGCATATATACCTTAAACATATTAGACCAGAGAATCTCATCCATGTAGTCTGTTGTGCGACCATTTGAGGTCTAGGGATACTAAGGAGGAGAGTAGTAAAGGGGGAAAAAAGGTATGGAAGAGCAGGGCAACAAGATGGAGATTCCTTACCATCTTGTCTTGATTTGTATTGTGATTGTAATATCTTCCTTATATTGTAAAGCGCTGCGCAAACTATTGACGCTATACAAATCCTGTATAATAATAATAGGAAAACCGGCTCCACCCCCACCCAGATCTCTCTCCCACTTAGTAAGAAAATTTTGGGAAGATTGACCTGGTGGGTTAATCAACAAATGATAGGACACAGAAAGGCCTGCCGGGCAGGGTCTATAACCAAACACATTGTTTCAAAGTCGGTTAACGAGGCCAAATTCACCGATCTTCCTAATAGAATATGCAAGGCTTTCCAGAACGCCAAAGGCGGGTCTGAGCAGGATTGAATATCCCACGGAAGACTAAAAATGATGTACCGGGTACAGGCCAGAAAACAAAACACTGAATTCCCGCTCCAGTGGTAAAAGGGGCAACAAAGGATGACCTATAACCATAGTCATTGAAGGATACGCATCCATTAATGTTGATCA